CGTTAGGGTTACTGCAAGGATGCGCGTTGCGGTAGCATCACTCTTCTATGTGGCTGCCAACCAGGTCAGTTGGTCGTCACTCTCACTGTCAATTGTCTCTCTTGCCTCTCTTTCTTACAGCCTTGACTGACAACGTCTCGCATACAACATTCACCTTTGCTCCTTCGAAAGCATCTTTCTCGCGTAGACTCCTTCATCGACAGAAGGGTGGCCTTGACCACTTGACCCTGAATCGCTGCAGTTGGGCGCAGTGGGCCAAGGCGGGCACCGCCCGATCCAAGCATGGGAATAAAAGGAATACTATTGCATGTGATTGCTCCATCGACCAGAGGGACCAGGTTTGCTCTGATACTCATTCTATCTCTACACGACGCACTTCCATTTGCCGAATTGCTTCTGCAGAGCGTCCGCAAACACCCCCGAGACATAATATAGCCACGAAACACTCAAGGCACGAGGGAAAAGAGAGAGGGGCCGGTCACAGGTCCACAGTGCGGGAGAGGAGGGAGGGCTACTGTTGGGGAGCACAGGCGGCAGGCGGCGCGTGCGCTCGGTGTATGTGGTCTGTCTTCTTACGACAACGTTTTGTTGGACGTCGATGGATGGCCTCCCGTCGCATTACCTTGATTGCATTGCATCAGTCGTTACAAGAAGGACGGTGTTGCGCAACGGTGGGCGGAGCCAGCGTGACCTGGCGAGTGGGGAGCCTAGAACGCCGACACCGCTTCAGCCTTGGATGCACAAGTCCCGGCGCACGTGCAACAGCCCTCCTTCTTGCTCCTGCGAGATCTGCACAACCAGCATCGCGCCTAGTTTGATTCAACGACGCGGTCTAAGACACGGCGTCAGCGCTACTTCGCTGCGTGCTCACTTGTCCCCGATTTTGCAAAGACACCCAAAGCAACGAGGGCGAGTGGGCATGTGGAGAGCGGGCTTCTCGTCATTGCCAAGGCTTGTCTCCATACTCGCAGTAACCCTCCCCGTCTGACTGACTCGTTCGTGACGACCGCCATGTCAAATCTTTTCGTCGTCCGATTGGCAGCACGCCTCCTGTGTGACTCAATGGTTGCGCAACGCGAGCAGTTACTAGTGCTCTCTTCCTGCCGATCTCTGCGAGGCAACTTCTTCGTCTATCGATTCAAGAGTCACTTGATCAAAGCTCAAGATGCCTAGACAAGGTATGCGCCAGCTATGCGAGTTCTCGCTTCTCTGAAATACGACGAGGTGCCGCCACAGGTAATGGGCGGCACCGAGGAGTTGTTCCACGACAGACTCTATTCAGCTTTCGACAGCGCTGGCATGCATCCGGTACCCATTTTCTTAAAGGTAGCCGAGGGCAGCGGCACCCTCTTGCGATCTGTCAGTGACAAAAAGCTGTCAGAGCACGCTGCTGCCAGCCTCTGTGAAAGGGTCTCTCCACCAAAGTGCGGCAGCGGCGGCGTGGATAAACGCAGCAGGCAGGTCCCTGCTCGAACAAGATCATTTGCACAACAGGTCTGTCTTGCACCCCGCAACGCAAGTTCCCTAAGCGCTGCAACACAACGTTCCTTGACCCCTGTTTGACCATGATATTGTGGCCAAAGGGTTCGTATTTCCTGCAGCTCTCACAGTCGCTCAAGTCACTGGGCCGGAAAAGATCTGATCGTCGCCAGCATTGCGGGCTACGAAGCGGGGTGCCAGATAGGAGAGTACCTCAGGCGGTCTCACTATCGATATTTTCATATGCCTGCCACGGTCGGCACACTGGCTGCGGCGATTGCTGTTGGTGCATGGCTCGGTATCAACACCAGAGATAAAGTAGCTTGTTTATTTGGGAACGCAAGACAATGGCCGCAGGTTTGTGGTAATTCAGGGCTGAGAGCGCCTACTCCAAGCAACTACATGCAGCAAAAGCGGCTTCGGATGGTGTGTGTGTGCAACTTACATGACCCTTTTCTGCCGGTCAGGCGTACACAACATCCTCGAGGGGAATATGGGTACGGCAGCGGGTATGTCTGCACGCGACGAGCAGCAGCATCAGAACTATCGTCCATGTTCAGAGACTGGACCCAAAGTCGCTGAACGGACGATTGAGCAGCCGCTGGACTACGATCGAGACCTCGTACAAGTGGCATACCTGCTGTAGACACACTCACCCCGCAGGTGTTTCTCTGCTGCAGGTGATGGAATTCGCGTCCGTCGCTCCCTCTAGTATCAAAAGCATAAAGGTCAAGGTGGATCAACCCACCATCGATGTCCTCGGACCTGTAAGGATGGATGCCCTAGACGGTGCACCAGGCCAAGTTCAGCGTGAACATCACATTGGCACGAATCGCGTTGCATGGTGCATCAGGCCTGGTCGAGTTCCACGACCGAGCATTGCAGGATTTCGAGGTGCGAGAGTTGGCGAGGAAGGCGAGCATAGACATCCATAAAGTTGTCCATCAGGCCTATCCACGAGCATGGCTGGGTCGGGTTGACGTAGCAACCAACGACAGCCAAACGCACCTGGACAAGATCGACCCAAAACGCAACTTTGGGAACACACTCAGCCGGCCCGAACTCGAACCCACGTTTCTGGCCCTACTCGAATTCGCATCACTGTCGCTCAATGGGTCACAGCACACGTATCAGGGAAGCCAGCGACTCGTCAGGCTGGCATGGACTTTGCGCTATATTCACCATGTTCGCGAATATGTATATGCAAATGCAATTGGAAGTGGTATGTAGATTCTTCTGAAATGCCTGCGGAAGTTCGCAATGGCCACAAATTGAGTCGAGTTCATCAAGGGCGGTAGATGCGAGAGAAGCCTTGCACCTCGGCTCGGCAAGTCGGACAAGTGTGCTTGCCTCTCACAGGCTGCGCAGAGATGCTCTGCCGGCACTCTTCACACATATTCAAGCAGCGGCACGGCCAGAGCAGGATCGTGCTGATGCCGGCCCGATAGCAATAATGCAAATGAATCAGCGCAAGGAACACGAAAACTGAACGGATGCACATCTCACCGCTCTTCGTAACAGCAAATGGCGCAGGGATGACTTGCTTCCGATGGAAGATCCGTGCGACGACGGGCGCGAATCGTCTCAATAAGCATGCGATCTTGATCCAATTCGACTAAGCGGTCTGCGTCTGCCTGTCCGCCCATCCTTGCGCGATACGCGCTACGTGTCAGCGGCCTTGAACTAGAATTGGCCAGATGCGCAACCATGACACTGCCAAAGTCCGCTGTGCCTTCTGGCGAGATGCTAGCATCAGGCCGGTAGGTGATGCGCGCCAGATCTAAGAGGGACTGCGACTCGTTCGGATCTAAAGTGACAAGGTCTTGGTAAGCGCAGTCCGGAAATGCTGCTGCTGCTGCCTCGCTACCCGTGCCACTTTCCGAATCATCGCCGCTGCTGTCGTCCGACTCATCTTCATCGGGTAGCCATTCCCACATCTCAGAACCGATTTGGGCTTCGGTGGTCGACGCCGCCGGGTCATCATCGAGATCGGCTTGCAAGGGCGCTGAAGGCGAGAGAATATCACGCCAATCCGGCACGCCCGCGATGTCGTAGTCTCTGGATGTCGACAAGGCGTTCCTTGCGCGATCGCGCAAAAGATTTGTCAATGCACTCTGCGTAGCTTCGCTGCTCCTGTTGTCCCGGCCTGGGCCCACTCTGTTCCTGTTTGCGCGCACGTGCTGCTCGGCAAGACGACGTTGTCTCCGCACCTCTCCGTTGCTCCCGTGCCAGAACAAGCGAACTGTTCTGGCGAAGCGGAATACCCACGGTGGGAACGAGTATCTCGGCAAGCGACTGCGTAGACGTTGCCACTGCATACCGCAAAAGATGGCAGCGTGGAGCGATACTGTCTGAAAGAAGCGCCCAATCGCCTTGTACCGAGGGCGCCCCATTACAATGTAGCTGCTCACGCCGCGCTGTGATGCCCTTGCCCGAATATCCTTGATTTCGACATCTATACCTCTCCTCGAGCGGGGGGGTTCGATAAAATCATGGAATGGATTTTCAATGACCTGTGTCTCACCGTCGTCCGACAGCTCGACCCGCGTCTTTTGCGCCAGGGTGATGATCGCGAACTCCATCGAAAAGCCATTCGAGATGGCGCTCGTTTCGAGACAGGCTGTTCCCCATTTGAAGAGCGCGATGGAAAACTCGTCGGTCAGTAGTGGCATGCTTGGTCGGCCAGGAACGAGGCGGCGCCAGGTGATCTGATTTTCTGTCAGCAGCATGGTGATTGCGTGCAGCGCTGCTGTGGCGGCGATTATGATGAGCAGCCCGACGTCCGGGGAGCGATTGATGCCTTGGATGAAGGGATAGCTCCCCGATCTTGCAGCGAGCATGTAGTGGACCATGCTTGCAACGCCAAAAATGGTTGTGATGGGCAATGTCATCTTGGATAATCTGCAAAGAATCAAGCGTGAGTCAGTCTTAGCCGCCCGAGAAGCTCAATCTTTGTGTCCATGCACCTTCGCCAAGCGCCTGCAATGGCAAGGCACCATATCTCCACCATCTGGAACCATACGACCAGCGCGGCGTGCTTGGAAGGAGACCCGTCCGCAAGAAGAAGTGCCAGCGTAAACAGATTCAAGGCTGGTATCTCATCCCTCCTGCACTCCAAGCTCGCGAGAACAGTCTCGGTGACTTGATTGGCTGATGCGGCGATGAAGGTCGTCCAGAAGATTTCCTTTGTGCGATCCTGCACGCCGAGAGGGATGCCGCTCGCGGACCACGGTCCCGAGTTGAACAGATAGCTCCACGTGAGCTTGTTCATGCTTGCGACATATGCCTCCGGTGGCAACGCACCCGCATGCGCCTGGACCAAGGCGATGCACAAGAAGCTAACCATCAAGAGGCTATGACTCAGCATCAGCAAGGACGGCATGCGGACGAGCAGGCGCCGCCAACCGCGGATGCGAACTGGGCGACCTCGTGGTCGACAGACTGCATGTATTCGGTTGATAAGAACCGTCTGAAAGAGTGGGTACGCAAGACTTCAGCAAAGAAAAATGGAGGATAACTGGCGATTGCACGCTGCCACGATGAGCATAAACTCACTGTTAGAACAAGTGCGACGGCATAGCGACTGGTGGCAAACCCCCACGGCGAGTAGCCAGGTGGCATGCCCCAGAACATGATGGACCCCAGAGTGTCATCTTCCGTTCCCTCTGTCTGCTGCTTCTCCGCGATGGTCGATGCGGCGCTAAACGCGGAGGACGCAGCTGCTGTTGCTGCGTGGCCAACGGGCCGAAAGGCTATGGCGCCGTGAGCTGCGCTCAGAGCAGATGAGATTGGCGGTGCGGCGCCAGCGCTGCCGATGCTCATCGCGGCATTCTGGATCTGTTTCAGCGCCGAGCTACCCGCGTCGGCGAAGCTGGTCTTGGACGAAGCCGCTGCTGCCGATAAAGAAGATGCATTGCGAGAGTTTAGCTGGGTGATGTTGAACAGCGCATCCCGCTGCGACCGCGCGAGCGACTTGAAGCTCGACAGAAAGCGCCAGCCGACCGAGTCAGGTGCAGACGGCTGTGGAATCGATGGGAGCATGCTCAAAGCTCAACGCTCAGCTTTTCCCGCCGCCCTGCGCTTGGGATAGGTGTTACCGCATGTAATGAGTGTAGTGCGTCGTACCCTTGTTCCTTTCGGGTGTCGCTCTAGCGCTGCCAATTAGCAGAACGCGCGACTTATGCCAATGGCGGTTCCTTCGAGCCTCCAGTGGCATGAACGGAGTCAGGAATGCGGTCAACCTGGTCTTGTTGACAACCTGCAAGAACGTATTCTGCTTCACATGACCATCTTGCCGGCATGAGGATAACCATTGATTGTCGCTGAAAGCGCTGATCACTGTGCGAATTATGTGCCAGTGACCGCTCGCTGTGACCTTCACCTTGAATTCTCTGTGTTGTGATGGCTCTCGGCTGCCATCTGATTGCCACCCTCTAGAGGGCGGAAACCAATACGCAGACACTTGGTCGGTTCTCCACCATGTACGATGCTGCATTTGACGAGCTGCAAGATGCCATGTGATTCCAAAGGCGAACGATGACGACGAATAGTACAGTACACAAAAGAACATCTGGATTCTGGCAGGATGTGGAAGTGCCCAACCGGGTGAGGGTTTGTTGGGGGGGAAAGGGGGGGACAAGGCTGGGATGGTGGGCTAAGCGGGGACTTAGGACCAGCTGGGGTTATGCGCGGCGTGGAAGGTGGCAAATGAAGCGATGCTTGTGTGAAGTAGAACATGGCTTGGGTGGACAGGCATGTGTGGGCGTTTGCGCAGGGTGCACGTTCCATGGGACATCACAGAGCCGACCCATAGAAAAGTGCAGCTTGCCGCTCAGTCTTTCTCTCCCCTTGCCCTCTCTTGCTGTCCTCCTTCCGTTCCCCATGGTGCGGGGAATGAGCAGCATTTCTGCTACTTTCCCCTGAGACTGCTGAGGTGTCAATGTATGCAGCTGATGCGACTCCCAAGGATGCCCTATCCACTCGAGGCGCCCATTTCGCTTTTCTTGCTTTTCGTGTGTCCTCTTTCCTTGTGTACGAATGCAGAACCGGATAACGGAAGAGCCAAAACTCTCGCAGAGCCGAGCCAGGCCGAGGGTCCCAAATGCGAGAAAGATAAGAGACGGAACGGTCGTCCGAAATCGGTATTTGTGCGTTGGAATATGGCCGCGCCGGCCTCTACGCGCCTGGCCACGGCGCCGTCGTCTCGTCAAAACTAGACTCCTTGCTGTCACTCCTCCGACGTGGCTTCTCCAACCCTTCACTCTGCACTGCTCCCATGGGTACGTGTACCCGTACCTCACTCTTCCATGAGATCGTCGGCGGTGATTTCATTCCTGCCCAGCCCGCTCCCTTCCTTGGCAGGGCTGTGACCGCCAGGTGCGCCCGCAAAACCCGCGGCGCTGCCACCCATGGCCGTGCCGACGCCCGCGTTTAGCAAGCTGCCCGTGCCAGAAGTAAAGTTGCTGCCACTGCCCGATTGGGTAGAAGTGGTCGAGCCGATCGGAAACGTAGAGACTTGTGAATGCGCTGGCCGACCCGTCGCGCCGGCCGAGCTGGACGTGGTGGGCGAGGTGGACATGGCGTTCGCTGCCGCTGCGGATACCGCCGTTGCGCTACTTCCTATGCCTGCACCGGCAGCGCTTGGAATACCGATGGATCCGCGATGCGCCTGAAGCGGCGACGTGCTTGATGCCACCGCTACCGGGGAGGAGACGCCTCCCGGAGAGCCGGCGGAGGAGGTAACCGCACCAGGACACGAGCCGGGAGGGCTGGAGCTGCCGACGGTCGAGGCATGAGGGATGACTTGCGGGTTGGGAATGGCGGTGCCGACGGCATTCTGCGGGGCCTTGCCTGCCTTGCTCAGGGCATAGTCGCCGGAATCGAAATACTTGCGTTCTTTGAGTTTGGTGTTGAGCAGGTCTTTGCGGTTCGGCAGCTTTCCGTAAAGGCGAAACATCTTCTGCTCCTCCTCCGAGAGGGACTGTGTGTGCCAAAAAGGGCAAGAGCGGGAAGGCAGGTGCAAAGAAATGCTGTCAGCCTGGTCATGTATGGACTTCAAGGGGCATGTCCGACACGTACGCTGATGTCGATCTTGTTTCTCTGAGCCGGTAACATCTTGCCTTGTGCTTCAAAGGCGAAAGGACGTAAGGATGAAAGGTGTGGTCAAAGAGAGATGCACGTGTAACGAGTGGCGTCGAGCTCGTACTATGTCCAAGGGCTGCAGAGTCGCCGTTTGAGCCCGTCAGCAGCAGCAGATCTGGTGCTCCAAAGGGTAGCCACTCGCTTCTTCCTTTGACGCGAAAGTGCGAGACGGGTGACGGTAATGTAGGCCTAAGGTCTGGCCGAGGGCCCCGAGCTGTAGAGACTTTCGGGGGCGATGACCCACTCCAGCGCCGTTTCCACTTGGACGAAGCCGGGGACAGGTAGGACTGGCGTGCAGACTAAGGCGTGCGCTTGTGTCAACGAGACACAATGACGTGGCGCTCTGCAGGACAACACTCTTTCGCACTGCCGATGGTGACTGCTGCCCGATCAAAAGTTGCTTGTTGGTTCGACTGGCTGACGATACGAGAAGACTGCAGATGAACAGCGAATTACAGATGTGTGACGATGGAATGAATGAATGCCCTTTTGTGTGCTTGACGGTCTCCACCGGTTGGACAGCACCATGTACACCTCGCACGTCGCAGCTCCCACTTTCATCAACTGCCTCTCTACTGCTATCGTACCAACAGACGATGAAGCGAGAGAAAGCATGGCACACGCCTTTGCAGCAAAGCGTATTCAGGTATGCATTGGAACAGTGTCCAGCCTGGCCGACTGATTCATGCAAAGAAGACTGCTGCATTGGCGTGGGGCTTGTGCAGAGCCGCGCCGCGCCACTCATCAAACACTGGTGCAGTGCGGTTGAGGCCTCAGCCTCGATCCATTGATCTGGCCAGCACGAACCAGGCGGATGCTGAGTGGTGGGCGCGAGAGAGGGCTCGCGACAACCTGTGACTTGCATGATGCAATGCATGCGTCCGTGTGTCCGGGCAAGGGAGCATTGGCCCGTGCGTACTTCGCGGTGAGCTGTTGTTAAAACCAGCGTTGCACCTCTGCTTTTCACTTCATGCCTAGAACTATGTAACTCAACTTTAGACTACTCTTGCGGCAGAGATTGGCCAGCACGAGCTGTTTCCAATGTGTAAATATCTCCTCGCTTCCTGACCGCCCAGACGTGCACCATCTGTATTCTGGACCACAATTTGCACGAATGACACCTGCTGCACTCGCTGCCGAGTGACATGTGCTGACGCTGCGCGCGCTGTCCGCAATGTGTGTTTGTGGGTACAAGGAAAGCAACATTACTAACCGTTCCCAGACGGGTCAGCGAGGCCCTGGTGGAATTTTACATGATCTCGATGAACTTGCTCCAGACGGATCGGAATCAGGTCCACAGACATGAGGACATCATAAGTGTTAGCATCAGCGTCACGACTCGCGCCTGGTCCGTCTGTATTGTTGCCCAGGCCACCATTATGAGGAGGAAGAGGTGAAGGAGATGTGCGTGCTTGCTCCGTTTTGAGGAATGTGACAAGCCTGCGTAGTCGCTCAAACCACCTGGCCTTTCCCGCCAGCTGCAGGCTCGTCACGCGAGCGCTAGTAGAAGGCCCCGACCAGAAAAGGGCCACGTCGTGGGCATGGGCGTCTTGCTGAGCACACCATTTCCCGTGTTCATCGTGCAATTGGAGAACATCGCTGCTGGTAATGCCCGCCGTGGGCTCTCCTCTGCGTCGAGGAACGAGCAAGCAGTGCTGCAAAAGACCGTATCCCTCCTCCTTATTGGTTGCAAGCCGCCATGCTAGTGGCGTTCCCCTGGGCACGCGCACCGTCACGATCTCATTCCCTGAACTCTGTTTGCCGCCGCCCCTGCTGCTCTGACGAGGCTGGTACGCCAAGACAGCCTTAGTGAACGCCTGGGAGATGCCCTTACCGACGAAGCCAGTGACGAGGGGCTTGCAGCGCTCCACGTGCCCCAGCAGGACCGGCGCGCCAGCGAGCAACTCGGCATCGCCCAGCTCGGTCGCTTGGCTTGTCGGACGCCCGACGAGATTGGTCAAGCCGATGCGGAAGGGCGACATCGTCGGGAAGACATGGTCCTCTGACGGAGTGTACAATCGCGAAGTCAGCCCAGACATCGACAGTGCTTTGTAGAAGTGATTGGACGGATGTGCATAATGGCGTTGGGTCCGTGCCGATTCAACGCCTGGGTTGATTCCGCAGAGCAGCACTTTCGAGTGGAGCCACGCCAGAAGGGTCAACACAACAGGAAACGGTTCAGTCAGTTTTGTCCTGTGCTGAGCTCATTGCAACGCGCACAATACGAGGGCAGAGTGAAACACACAATCGAGCCTGTCTCCCAAGTGATCTGGCACGCCGTCGGTGAGGTGAGCATACTTGCTGGCACTCGGGTCGTCGTAGCCGACTTTGCACCGCTTTGTCTTGCGCAGACTCGGTGAAGACGAACTGCGAACACGTTGAGATGCTCTCGATGGAGAGCTCGAGGATCCGATGGCCAGAGAAATGCTATCTGATAGCCATTGTTTGTTTCTCTTGGGCAAGGATCTCGCCGGCGCCGGTGCGCTGGTACTGTTGGCGATGGAGGAAGATGCTTTTGGCGGAGGCGACGCAGGAGCAGCGACCGACGAAGCTTGCATGTGTGGTGCTTGCAGCCCCGGAATCGAAAAGGCAGCAGTCAGGCACACCGGTGCAACAGCCTCTGAGCCTCCCCCTCTTCTATTTGCCATGATATGTGCATCAAATCTTCATAGGGCGCCTTGATAAGGTTGCGGAAAGGGTTGCGATGTTGCAAAGGTCACTTTTGACTGATTGTGTCTTCCAGCGATCGACGGTGGCAAGCCAGATTCTCCATTAGAGCGATCAATCAGCATCGCTCTGGCTAAGTTCAAGCAATGTGTCACCGTGGTGAACCATGTCATGAAATAAACAAAAGCCAAATGTCACGACTGTCAAATGTCAAAGCTCGTCATCCGGCTAGTGTCTCGAGTAAGACCGGTGAATCAATAGTGGTGGTGGTCTCGTCGTGGTAATTTGAAGATGTTGCACCGAATCAAGAGGCTCGGGTTTCATGAGCTTTCCATGAAGCTGCACAAGCCATTTTCGAGGTACATAGTCTCTTTCAGGGAGTGTTCGGTTCAGCTTCGGATCATCTCCAGAAAGAGTTTCCTGATCTGCCAACATGTCTATCGCTCAGCTCATCGCTCATCCCTCCTCCGTTGCTTTTTTGTGGTTGTTCGTGTCTCCCCACACAATTTTTGTCATCTGGGGTTTCCCTCATTAGCAAACCGATCGCACATAGCCAGGCTCGAGGCATTCACGTGTGGCATCTGGGCCGAGCAAATCTATGGCTCGGGTGACTGCCTTCCATCGTTATGATTACTGTCGGTGAAAAATAAAAATATCTATGCATGCATTTTCTGAACGAATATTTTCTGTATTAATGAAGGGGCGAGTCCACTCCTTCAAATTCGGGGGACTCTCCACATTCACCAGCGGGTTCTCCACACTGCTCCAGTACGCAAACTGTCCATCCTTGAATGATATTTTAGGGATGTGTCCGCTTGCTGCGCTGTTAGGTGTCTGCCCCTGGGGCCTGTGACAAGGCGGGGCCAAGGTGTGCAGCTCGCATGTCATCATCAGGGCGTAGTTAAGCGAATTTTGAGCTTATCACCAATATTTCCTCAATCCTCCGAAATGTTCTGCTCAGGCAGTATTTCCTAGGGGCTCTCATTTTCCTCAGCAGCACTTTTTGGCTCTCCATACCACGAGGGCCCTCCCCACATCTGCCTCACTCTGGTCTTCCATCATATCCATCACCTATCACCACACTCGACCGCACCTTTTGTCAGGTAATTCTTTCGGCAGCTCAGTGTTGATTGAAAACAGAACGTACCAGGGGTGCGTCGAGGGTGCTCATTGTGCACAATGAATGATTCGGCGACTGCCTCTTCCTTTCTCTGCCCCAACGAAGCGTCGTCGCAGCTTGCCACTCGCAAGATACACAGGAGGCGAGCTTCGCAGCCTGCACCTGTTGGGTCTACGTCAAGCAGTCGGAGAGCGAGCGCCAGCGACAGCGATTGTTTCAGCGGAAATGCTCTTCATCTTGGCGCTGGTCGCATCTCCGTCGGCAGCCCTTCGGCAGGGTCCAGCCGAGCCGGCACCCCCCTTCTGGTGCAGCTGTCGGCCGAAGATCTAGACCACAGCGACATCACTACAGATCTGTTAATGATCGCAAAACAGACGTATGCGAATAGCACCACGAGCCTTGGAAGCGATTCAAGCGAGGAGGACGAGAATCACCTCGACCATTGGAGCAAAGGCACGGGTGACGTGGCAATCAAAACTTCACACCAGAGAAGCGCCTTGGAATACGTGGGTTTGTTGTTCTTGAAGATGGAATTCACAGCGTATATGCTGATGAGACTCGTGTTCAGCTCGATTTGCCCGCCTCATTGCCGCTTACACTGGCGGCCTTGCGGGATCAAGTATTAGCACATCTCGCTGCTGTCGAGGCGCGATTTCAGAGTCTGCGCCAGAGTCTCCCATCAACGATCGCCGTCTCAGAAAAGATGTTCAGAAGCCCTTCATGGTATCTCAAGCAAGGGAATGATGACTTTGATGCCCCTGACAAATACGGCGACCCAATGGATCAGGCCATACTGTCCTCCTTCTACTCTCACCTTTCGCTCCTTCGAGAGGAGCTCAAACTGCTTGTGCAGCGTCTTCCTTCCTCGTCCTCAACTGTTTCAAGTCCGTTTGCTTCATCACAGATGGGCATTTCATCACTCCCAAGCTCACTAAGCCTCCCGCGCATGCCTGTCAATGTCAACATGCTCTTCGACGCGTTCTACGCTCGCTTGCCGGCTACACCCCCTTCAATAAGTCCGCCAAACGCTGCCGCAGACGATCACCACAAGGATCCAAAGTTCGAAGCAGCCTGTGATCTTCGTCGTCTCCTTTCCGCCATCAAGAACAACCTGGAAGCGGTTAATGAGACAGTCAACAGTGTCGCGCGCAAGGACTGTTTACTCAACGCGTGGTCGACGCTGCACCAAGAGAATCACATCAGCCGCACACTCACTCGCACGAGGTCTGGCAGCTTTTCCGCGTTGCAATCAGCGCAATTGTCTCTCGTCGCTGCGAATGCGCGCGAGTCAACTGCCGCCTTCGTTCGGCGCATGGAAGAACGCTTGGTCTCACTCGCTAACACGGGTCGAGATCGTGCCAACGATGTAGTACACCGGGCTGCTGAGGCTGCCAAGCAAACCGAGGACAAGATATACAGGACAGCGCTAGATCTTGCCAAAGGTGGCCGGCAGCTCATTACCTATGCTGATCTACCGGAATTGTGCGTACAAGCGGCGCTGTTGTGGGCAGAATTCTCTCCGGCACTGACACTCTTGCTCTGCAGATGGAAAAATAACGAATACATTCTCGGAGGCTACCGCTTCATTCCCTCCCGCAACTGGGGCGCATTGTTGCGCAGCACCTTCGAAGTGCACAACGAGACCGGCAACATTCTGAGTCACCTCATCGGCATCTTCATTGTTCTCCCGCTTTTTTGGCCCGACGCAAACAGCACCAGCGACGTTCACACCACACCGATGGACAGGCTTGTCCAAACTATCTACCTCATCGCCGCCGTCAAATGTCTGGTGCTCTCCGTCAGCTGGCATGTTATGGCGGGATGCGCTGATCATAAGGTGCGATAGCCCGCATATAGGCTGCGTTGCATACGGCGCTAATTGCCATTTTAATGTCTGCAGATATTCGAGACGTTTGCCTGTGTAGACTACACTGGCATTGCATGGCTCGTAGGTGAGTGTAGATGGTATGCACACATACTCTATGGGTTGCTGACCCACATGCGCTTTCGGTTGCGACTCCAGCGGCGTCCATCTGGACGGTCATCTATAATTGCTTCTATTGCCAGCCCAACCTGGCGCTGCTCTACTCTGCAACTACATTCATCGTCGGCCTCGTCGGAGCTATTGTGCCATTCATGGATTTCTTCAACAGGCGCGAGAACAAGAGTGAGTCCATCTTCAAAACATGTTCGGGCTGCTCCTTACACCTACCATTACGCTGACGCAACCGGCGTCTTAGAGTGGCGCATCGCTATGTTCCTCGGCATGTGCTTTACAGGGATCGCACCCTTTTCGCACGCTGCCTTTGAGCAAGGCCTCGGGAAGACAGCCCAATTCTTGTCTCCAATATTCCCGTCTTTGCTCGCGTACGTCGCCGGCCTTGTCTTCTACGCCACCCACTTCCCAGAATCCTTGCGGCCGGGCTTGTTCGATGTTGTCGGCCACGCCCATCAATGGTGGCACATCTCTATTGTTATTGCGATCTGTCTGCATTAGTGAGCATCAGTAAGAAAGGCTTTTCGCAATCCCTGGAACGCGTTGCTAACGCCAAGGAGTTTTTCCCTTAGTCGTGCTGCCTTGATCTGGCACGAACAACGATTCGATTTCAGCTGCGCCGGCACTCCGCCCTCGGCTTCCCTGCCTGCCTTCAATGAGCTGCTCGCGTCTGCCGGTGGCCTAGGAGGCACACACAGCCTTGACCGAGCCGACAAAAAGATACATCGTATGCGCCAGTTCCTCGGCACACTCGCAGGTGGCAATGTTGGACGCTTTTACGACGTCATCGTGGATTTCCTGCAGACCTCCTTTTAGACGTAGATCATGCTTCAATCGCAATCCTGGTCACATCCACCTTTTGCTCTCGCGCCTGCTAACCGCACCCTGTAAACTAAGCATCTTACATCCACTGAGCATCGCACATTTGTATTCAATCAAAGGCCAAGGCCCGCTTGTCTGAGTGCCAAGCCTGGATAGTGATTCTAAGATGAGAAGCCGAAGAGCGCAGTACGGCCCGAGCGGTGATGACTCCCTCTGAATGCATTCTTAGGATACAGAAATTGCTTCATTCACGATGGTGAGGATTATTCAGATCGAGATGCGATGTTTCAAAGAAATGATGCTTGCGTGACGTGTACGTTCTGTTGTGAATTTCGCTTGACTTCCCTTGCTGGTCGCTTCTGCTTTGGCCGTAAGGGGGAAGACTATTGTGAGTCCAATGGGACAAAGGGAGAAGTTGGCATTGCCCAGACCTTCACAGATCCATCGTCGCCAGCGCTAGCGAGAAGGTCGCACATGTAGCGATGATCGCCAGTGACGACGCTCTTCGTTGCGTCATCTGCGCTCGCAGGAACATCACTCAAACGGGCTGCTGCATTCGAGGATTCGGAAGCGGCCGCTACGGCCGTGGCCGAAGATGCGAGCGTGTCAGGAAAGACCGCTAAATCATCACCTGCCAAGGAAGCCGGAGCCCAAGATACGCAGTTGACATCACTGACGCCGTGTGCATCGGTTAGAGCTGCCGCCAGTGTCGCTGTGGGGACCAGGCTCTTCTCCGTGTCCTCAGACTCGGTCTGATGGGTCGGATGGAAGGGAAAGTCACTCGTGAGACGCTCGAATCGATCGGGCAAGACGGAGTGGCACAAGGAATGAAGAAGGTACTCACAATCTCAAAGACAAATATGTTGCCGTCCCCCCCTCCTGTGGCGATGCGACCAAGGCTTCCATTGGATCCGCTTCGGCTATGACCCCAAGAGACTGAATAAATTGTACGGGTGTGCCAACCTTTGATGATATTGGTGCAGGCCCAGTGATCTCCCGCTCGGCCAGGCTGCTGGCCGTACGTCTTCAGACCTTGCTTTTCCGCCTGTGCTGCTGTGAGGCGTCGCCAAATACGGACGCTGAGATCGTCTGACGCTGATGCAAGGAAATTTCCACACGGGGAGAACGCAATGGACCAGACGGTTGAAGTGTGGCCCGTCAGCGTTTGATAACAGTACCAATCATCCGAAGGATCGTCCAAATAGAGTTTGATAACGTCATCGTAGGATGCTGATGCAAGCAACTGCGGGTGTGGGAACAGAGACTCATTCGTCAGAACTGGCCATTGAGCTGGTCACGGCCGGGTATGGCCGCTAGCACTGACCTCTTCCCTCGGGTGCCAAGCGACATACTTGACGTCTTGTGAATGTTCCATCAACACGCTCAAACACTCAAATTCTGAGTCTGGATGCACCTCCCATATCCAGACGCTCTTGTCTCTACTGCAGCTCGCAAGAAGATCACCCTTGGGAGAGAACGCGACGCTCTTGCACTCGCTGTCATGACCCTCGAGGGTACCGATACAGTCCCACTCTGGTGCATCGGATGCGCTGCTGTTATTCTGACTTTGTCCAGAGCTGTTCTGGCGGGTGAGGTTGTTACTGCCGAAGTCGACACTAAGATTATTTGAAGCAGATGTCCTGGCAGGTTCTTCAAGGCGTTCCCAAATTCCGACCGTTGCGTCGAAACTTGCTGTAGCCAGTGTCCTCCCTGACGGGCTCCAAGCAACTTGTCGAACGGTACGCTTATGGCCGGTGACAATGACTTCCTGCAGCTGAAACTGTACTTTCACGGAAGCCGACAGGGCTGATGCTGATCTTGACAGCTCAGACGTAGGGCTGATCGTTGATGCGGAGGCAGGACAAGGTTGAAAGATGAATCTATGTAGCTTCACATTTTTGTCAGAAGAGCATGTTGCAAGCAGGGGTTTGCGTGGACTCCAGGCGAGATGCCAGGCCTTGTCTTGGTGAGCTGCGTGAAAAGAATGTGTCAATGTGCGCGTGTGATTCGAATGAGAAAGACGTTAACCCGTTTGCGTACTGCTTACCTGACAGCTCGGACACGAGTTTCAGGGCTGGGTGGCCATTCACTGCTCGTCCAGAATACTCAAGCATGGTCAGGGTGTTTTGGGGAGCCTGAGTCTTGCGAAAGCGGCGTGAATCTTGGAACCGACCAAAGAGGCGTACTATCAGTGCGCAGAGACCAATCGCCAGTGCGTTGTAGAAGGGAGGTGCTGACATCGACTCGCTCGGTATACAGCGTTGATGGCTGGACTCCAAGTCATAATTGCAAGTGATGCCGTTGAAGCAGTAAAGCGATAGGGTTCTCAGGTTTTTGGGGCTCAAGCAAAGAGGTTTCAGTATTCAGATTACAGAAATCAAAATAAACCGGTAATCCGCAAAATATTTCCTCACAAAATCAGAGTACATCTTAAAATTATCAGCAATAAGGATTGCATTCAAATATGTAGTGATTGGCATTGAATCCGGCGAGAAGACCAAGTATCCCAGAAACAAGGTGTCTCCATTCTCAGAATTGAGAAGTGAATGAATCACTTTTTACTAAAGTCTTTTCAAAAGACATTGCATAAAAACCCGCGCTTCCATTGGCACTTTCGATTGTACGCGGTAAGAGCACAACCTCTGACGAGCACGGGCGCGTCCTTCATTTGATCGCACTGACGTGGCAAACATCTGATTGTTGCGCTTCATCATGCCAGGCTTCGCTCGGTTGCTTCTACACTTCCTAAACCTCAGCGTCACGAGCATCGGGTATGTAATGTCCTTCGGTGTGGCGTAAAGGGCGATAGCGCGTACACAAGGTCTCGATTTCCGTGGCTCACGACCGCGGCAGGCAGCTTAGTGTGCAAGGAGTGAATGTACCTTATTGCCATGCTTGGATGTCACTCGCGGCCTGATTGCCCTGCACGCTGGTCTGGACCGACGTAGAATGTCAGCCGTAATATCGGGCGAAGAGCCGGCAGGCGATGACGGATCTCAGATGCCGCCACCGCCCTCACATGCCCCAAGCGCGAGACAAGAAGGGCGCGCTTCATACGACAAGCAACTCTTCCCACGCTTGTGGAAAGCCGCCGCAGATCGAGCCACGGTGGGTGTACAAAGGGCTCTCGGCGCAGAAGTCAAGAAGGGATCCAAGGGGATCGCCGCAACAGCTGCCGATAACGTTGATCTGGAAGCAGTTTGGGCCATCTGGACTTCCTCGGTGGACTACTAGCAACAGCAAGCGGATGTTTTGAATGATGTGCAAGAGACTGAAGGAAGCGAAGGGGGTATCGAGGAACCACCAAATGTTAGGGGACGAGTAAGCAATTACGAAGTGCATGAAGGGGGAGGAGCAAGTGCCCTGGCCAAAGGTAAAGATGATCCTGATCATGCCAAGAGACAAGAGGACGGCCACGAGACGGCGAACAAGGCCGAAATATCTATCTGCAAAAGCCGGGATCCATCTAGCCCCCCCCCCTGGGATCCCAATTAGCGGATTCCCTCATGCATCGGTCCCGTTGGAGAGGATCATCTGTGGGAGGCAGACTTCCGCGACATGCGCATATATCCAGCATTTTGGTCAGGCCCTTCACACGATCTCATCAGGGCGACCTGGTGGTATGGCGACGCAGCTCGCACACCTGTACCAGACAAGCTAGCGAAAGAGCTCGAGGTTCACTAGCACAACATTCGACCGTACAGTTCCATCTACAGCCACGAACTTTCTCAAGCTCTGGAGTTAGGTTTAGAAGCCGAGGCGAAGATCGCTTATCCACTCGACAGTGTCTTCAAGTCTAGAACACAAGTCAATTTCCTCGGCCCTTTCACCGTCCGGATGTATCGGCCTGACTTTGGATCCCGCCTTTCCAAATCGATTTGGACAGCTGCCAGTGGAGAACATGTAGGTGGCCTACTCATCGTTCGTAGCTACGATGCCGCTGCAAGCATGCAAAGACCCAAGTACGTAGGCAAGCGCACTTCTCGAGCTTCGCTCGGCGGGGAGTGGATTCGCGACAACGTACAACTTGGAACAGAAGACGCCCAGGATCCTCATGCACCAGGCGGGGAAGAGTATGACAGTGCTCCAACCCCCGCGTCTGAGCCTGAAAGGACTTGGGACGAAGCCGGAAACGCATCGGGCGTAAACAACCTCAGTTGTGAGCCAAATCCGATGCGGCTTATGGAACAGGCTACACGACCGTTCTGCGATACTTCACAGCAAGCCACGAAAGGAAAAGTTGCTGCAGCAGTCAAAAGCCAGACGATGAATGCTGATGACACCGCTGCTCTCATCGAACCTGATTCCACCGCTGGAGCTAACAACAAGGGCCAATCTTCTTTAAGCAGTGGCTTCAAGAACGTTGTGGCCCGACGCATACGCAAAATCGCAGAGAGTGCAGACGAGAGACTCGCACAGCAGGTACCTGCTTTTGTGGAAGGAAGCGCTGGGAGTGACCGCAAAGATGCGTGTGTCAGCAGTAAAGGGGATGGAGCTCGAGAGGAAGAGGTTAAGAAGCCCCTCAATACCCACCGAGGGCAAGGCAGGGACGAGACGGAAAGGGTAGACTCTCCTGCGCGGGCAGAGGACCTCCGGGAACATCCTCTGACAGATTCGGATGCTGAACCATTGGTCTTGAATCTCGCGCTCCACGGCATTGGGCAGCAGTTGGCAACTTCGGTGGAATATTAGGCATTCCCCATTGCATAAGTGCTACTTTTGTGGATCCTCCAAGCTAGTATGATGTTGAACCCTCGTTAAGCGTTGCAGGATCAATGCCTTCAGACAGCTGGCATGAGAGCGATCTGAGACATGCGAGACCGTTGTCAAAGGTCAACGCACTCAATTTATCCCATTCTTGTGGAAGTTGGCCATGAATTCTGTAGAGACGAGCACCAGCACGAGTAGAATTCCGGCTTTCCTGACCTGACGTTGGACCACATCGTGGTGAATGATGCATGTGCCAGAAGTGTGACATCTGGATTGATGCTGATCATGTAATATTGGGAAACGGAACTCATTCTGCAGGGCGACAACAACGTTATCCCGCTGATACGGCAGCTCATTAATGATGTGTTGCTAGACATTCCCATATATCCTACTCCCAAACACCACTACAGGAGCGTCCAGCGTGTCATCGACGAGATGAACAGGATGTACAAACTCTTCCTGCAGCGTAACCCTCAGCGCACTGGCTCTTTGAATGTCAATGAGATCGCCCACAGCTTAGGCGCTGGACTCTCAGTCCAAGTTTTCTCAAAGCAACCGTTTCGCGCTCAAGATGCGCAATACGAAAGGAGCGCATTGGAACTTCATGTTGGTACGCTCTACATAATAGGTTCACCTGCGGCGCTCTTCCTTTAATTTGGCCAGAAGACCTTAATCGGCCAGGAGGGACGAGCAAAATACGCAGTCGAAGCTGAAAGGGAACGTGCGGCAGATAGCATTGCGTCTGGCCGATATGGCTTTCTAGCGGTGGATGAGCGTTCCTCCACTCTCCCACACTCAAGTTTTGGCCCTGCCAAATTGACAACGTGCACTTTGCACATGTAGAGTTTGGAACCTGGTCTATGCTACGGATCCAGTGGCGACACGTCTTAACCCTTGCGTACATCCGTGAGCTATTTTACCCACACAAGTTGCAGAAGCCTTCGGCTTCCATCAGCTCATAAGGGTTGATTGTTGAACGGAGCTTTGAACAGATTGGGCAACACCACACCCCCAATGCCCACGACCGATGTCATCGACAAAATGCTCACAAGCGTAGCTGATAACGGCGCTGGCAGCGGCAGCAGGACGACGAAAGACTCATTAGCCAAGCGCTTGAGTGGGCCGCCAAGCTTTATGGATCTTTCTTTCATGAGCAAGTTGCACAAGTCATCGGCTACTACCCATGGCGTCGAGAGCGAAAAAGACGTAGTAATCGTTGTAAGAAAAGATCACCATTCGGCTGTTGATGCACCGTTATTGACCCCGAAAGCTTCTCGAGAATAAGAGAAGGCAAGTCTCCGGGTTGCGAGACTATTCTGCCCTGCACTGAATCCGCTTGATAGAGTTGATATGCGACGGCGCAAGTGGCAGCCTGTCTCCTTCCTCGATATTGCGACCGCCTAACTGTTCGTACTGTTTCTACTCATAGCCACCGTGACCGCATATTCCATCAGAAGCAATCAATACTTGAATGTGATTTGGGCACACGTGGCGTACTGGGCTGATCACTCCTTTGTCAACTTCCTGCTGGTAACCAGTTTTGCAGATGAGGACACGCTGCACAAGATTCGCACAAGTGTTGAGCGAGATGTGAGCGGATTGAACGCGTGATGGCTATTCCCTATTATGTACCTTAATCAGGGAGGCAAATAGACCTCGCGATCCTATCACATTGTCTTTCTGCTTCCCAACCGCTACAAGCTGGCACCACTCAAAGCTTCCACAGATGCAGAGGCAGTGCCTATAGAGGTTATATTTGGGCAATCTTGATTCTTTCGTTCCATAGTTTAATTGAGCTCTTACATAGGGCAATCGGTCGAATGCTCTCTCAGGTCTCAGGGTCTCAGGCCTAGCCGCTTGGCCTCCGCGCTCAGCGACCTCGCCTCCTGTCTGATATAACAGTCATTTCGCGCGACGGACAGATGGATGTATGGATACGCATTGTAGCTCACACCATCACCATCACGCGCGCTCACAATTCGGTTTGTTTCGACCAGGACTGCCGTAGCCCACGGGGGTATGGCAAAGTCCGAGTAATTACCTCGTCGATCACCTGATTTGCAACCGTTCCCGGTGATGTGTACGTATCTTTCCCTGGATGTGGCCGCGCTCACCGCTCTTCCGCCGACGTCCGTATGATTAGGCGTTGGCAGCTTAGATTTCGTCCTGGAAGATGCCTCATCAATGACCGGTCTCAAGTTGTGCTCAAAATAGCTCGAGCAGACGACCAAGACAGCAGATATTATTACGTCCAAAGCTCCAATCTTGCTGACCACGAGCGTGAGCTATCCACACGGCATACACGCTCGACGCAGGTTAGAATTTGGTCGGCTTGGTTGGAAAGGGCAGGTGTTTGTGCACCAGCCGCAAGTGGTTTGAGTTGCAGCCGTTGCGCCTGCACCCACTCCTTGTTCGCATTGTTGGAGCCTGTGTCCCTGTTGAAAGCATCCTTAGCTGCCTCGTGGCTCCTCTTCCCAGCCTCTTTCCCTCCTACACAGCCTCGCAAGTCATAGAAGATCGCCGGCTGGCACTAAAGCACGCCTGCACGCGCGTCATGATCAGCCACAACTCGCACTGATAAGGTCAATGGTGCAAAGCTTTCGGTCTTTGTCCTAGCAGGCCGAGCAAGGATACCCAAGCAGCTATTGCATTGGATCGGATTCAGAAGGCAGAAGCCACATTGGCGTCAACAAAATCTGCACATTCACATTTCCTAGTACGTCTCCCATGCATTCGTGATAGGCCACAGGTACGATGTGCTGATGCACGGCGTCCTGGCAGGGCGATCGCCTTCATTAGGGTATACGCAGTGGTGTGCGAGAATGACAAGCTCAATGAAAATGTCAAAACGCATCAATGCGCGCTTGCAGCTGGCAGCCGCACTGATTGAAGCCGACAACGAGGTTTTGGCAGAGCAGGCTGCCTTGGAGAAAGAGAGAGAATTCTTTCGAAGGAGAGAAGGTCAAGCGCCTGGATCGGGCACAAGTGAGCTTCCGCTTAGAATATCATTGCCTGCTCCAAAATTGGCAAGCGAAAGTGCCATCTTCGCGCCGTACCGCTATGACTCGAAACCTTTGCCCCACCAACGGTCGCGCACGAACAGCCTTTCAAGCCGGTTGTCCCTCCTGGACTCTCGCCAATCAGACCAAGGAGATGGAGCTCGAAGGCCTTCCATCGACTTCCTTGGCGTCGCGCTCCCTAGTGAGAAGAAAACTCGCGCAACGCACTCGAGCGCTGCTAGCATCGGAAGTCTCTCTCGGGCGAGCCTAGACAGCGGAGAAGCTTTCATCGGCGCCAGGAGTCGTCCCACGAGCTCAGTGCTCGACGCCAGAGACAATAGAAATGAAGACGTCGTCCAGGCTCTCGAAGCCTGGAACGTGGACAAATATTTAAGCCAAGAAGAGCGAGCCAAGATTGAAGGCAGACGGTGCAGGGCTAATTCTGTAATCGGCATGCCCCCATCGGAAACCCGACATGACGATCAGCGCCTGTCTTGGGACATGAGCTCGGCAGCGAACTATCAAGCCGGGTTCATGGGACGAACACAAAGCGAGGTGAACACCACAGCCACAGGGGCGGAAATTCTCTCGCATATTTCTCGGGGAAAATCGAGGCGCGGTCCTCGCGCTGCACCCGACCCTGCTCTGCTCGCCAAGATAAAGCTGTATCGAGCGAGGCAGGAGACGTTGCCTCCGTCCGAATGGGACGGCCCTGGACCCTTAGCAAGCGAGAGCGAACTTGTGGACCACCTTGATGGTAATGCATCCCAGGACGCAGAAAATCTGCTGAACCTCAGAAGGGTCATCTCACATAAGCAGTCGCTTGGTGAAAGTGGAATGGAGCTTGCCCGTCGCAAAAGCACACTAGGCGTCACCGGGAGCTGGTCTGACGAGGAAATTCCGGGGGACAAGGGTAAGAAGGCAACTCCGATCATGACGCCGGCTATCGATCATCTCATGTCGCCCGAGCATCCCTCACGTACAACACGCACTCTAGCTTCATCACGAGCACGGCCATCGACGCCTAGCAACATCAATACTCCAGAGCACAAGAGGCAATCTTCCAGCGGTGTTTTACTTGCGCCGCGAACTGCTGTTCCAGGAGATCCATTCGGTGTCTTTCCTCAGGACTCCACCCGGTACCCCTCGCATTTATCAGTGGCAGATGATTTGAACGAAGACTGGAATGCAGCCGATGATAGGCTACTAGAGTCGTTGGGCGGAGGGAAGCGGCGTAGCCTTCCAATGGACGGTTTGACCACCAAACAACTGCAGCGGCTAGCTCGGCATAGTCAGATGCCCGAGTTCTACGGCGATGTTCCTCCTGATGCACGATCGAGCATCGATACAACCAGGGCAGATAATGATAGCATTTTCTCTATGGAGGTTATCCGCAAGCCTGTGACATCAATTCCGCCTCCAAAGCTGCTTAAACGCGATCCTGGTAAGCAAGGTAATACCCTGGACCCAGACATGAGCTCTGCCAATTGGCGCACCAGAGGTCAGCTCTCGAAGCTTGCGAACCTCTTCGAACCTGTCAAGAAGGCTAAGCACATCAGAGAGTCATTGGATGACGAATTCGCGATGGAAACGGACTGGCGCAAATCTGGGCCTCTGCAGGCGCGAGGGCTGGAAGCGCGCGTGCCCAGTACCTTGATCATGCCCCAGCCTTTGCAGAATACCCAAGCCGCTTCGACTGTGAATGACACTCCCAGAAGTGGGCAACAAGACGTCGGTGCCCTGCATGCCGTTGGCATCCATGTGCCCCCTGGATTTGTTCTGCACGATGGACGCGGTCTCCCGCCAGTCCGCTTCATATCAGTAAATGCAGCTTCGACTCGAGCGGCAAAAGCAGATAGTGACACGAAACCAACCAAGAAAGCAGATGTGATGCTGGATGCTTTCCTTCAAAGCACACTTGCAGAACGACCGATCCCAGTCCCTGCCACTGCACCAACTGGCATAGGACGGAGGGCCGCGAGCCAAAGCACAGTGCTCTTTCGCAACCAGCTTGTGCAGAATGAAGACGAAAAAGAGGGCTGGGGCTGGGAACCTTACACTCAGACCGAATTTGTGCACCAGGAAGCTCAGCCAACAGAGGAAGTGCAGAGCACGAGTCGCAGCAAAAAAGGAAAGTCACGGTCCAAGAGGGAGAGGAAAGATCGCAGGCGACGTAGGGAGGAGGGAAGGCTCCGCCGCAACGAGGTTCAACCCCAAGGTACGGCGTGCGCGGCTGTCGAAGAGGACTCTGAAGACGACACCGAGAGCGACGGCTCCAGCGATACTAGCAGCGCAATCTCGAGATCTTCATGTGCTACATCGGGTAGACGAAAGCCATGGGTGGATGATGTCAGGCCGGCGGGAAAGCTGTACGGCAAGTCTCTCCTCGATGTTGCAGAGGCACGAGTGGTAACTCGCAAAAGCGCCAATATGTGAATGCAGACCCTATGCTGTCTGCTACCGCAGGGTAGCTTGCTGACTCGACTGTGTCCTTGACAGGTTTTATGGTCAGGCGGATTTGGCTGAAGGCTTGCAGAAGTCCACGGATGCCGAGTCTGTTTCCCTAGCACCGAGCCGGGCTGTGCCATTCGCTGATCGCCCCCTCGGCATGAACGACACACGAGAGCGTATGCAAACTATTTTTGGCAAAGATGAAGTTTGGGAACGTGAGATGCAAAAACGCCGCGATGAGGATCAGCAGGAGTTACAAAGCTATACCAGCGCCGCAAGCACTGACAAATGTGAGGCCGAAGTCGGATCGCCATTGGAGCCTCATGAGGGACCATCTGTGCTTGCGCGACCCATCACTTCAGCCGAACCTCTTACCCTGGACATTGCTGTGTCTGCCGAAGGCACTCGACACGGAGGGACGACAGACTGGTTTGCCGGGGCATCGGACCACGACACCGACAGTGAGGGATCGTCTGTCATCGAAGCTCGAAGAAGTCACGAGGAATATGAGCGTCGGAAGTCCTTGACTCTGGAACACGCTCTGCAAGAGCCACAAACTTTACTGGACTTAAGCCAAGACGAGGGCAAAAAATGCGATGGCAGCGAGAGCGACAGCTCGGAAGATCTCCCGCTAGATCAACTAAAGACCAATCGGAAGTCGAGTCTCATACCTTACGAACTTCGTCTCACGCACTTGCTCTCATCTGCAGACGGCAATTCCTCGGACGAGGAGATGCCGCTTGCTCAGATCATGAATAAAAGAAAGGATGTCCTTGGCGAACTTCTACATCTTTCGAGCCACTCAGAGCAAAACTTTGCGGCTACCGGCACCGCCACTGCGGAAAGGTGCCGCCAGCACTCAGGAGAACTTGAAGACCTCGGGGAAGGAGACTCGGACTCCGATGATGACGCGCCTTTGGGGGTCAAGCATCCTCAGGGTCCAGAGATATTGAGGCGTCTTCATCCCACTTCTAGGGGTGAAGAAGGATCTGATGATGAGCCACTAGGCATGGCGCACCCCCAAGCTGCAATCATTGCAGAACAAGCAGCGTTGATCAAACAGCTCCAGGCGGAAAGGGCGAACTCTCAGCAGGCGATGCCACCGTCACAATGGGCAATGCCAGCATACCCTGCGATGCCGGTCTATGATGCGATGTCCAATATGCAGCTTTTTGCTCCAAGTCCGCTGATTCAGGGACCCAGCTCCGATATAGGGGGGCCGAATCTTCTCTACGATCCAAAATCGACATTGATCGACAGATGGCGCAATGACGTTCCTGGTCATGCTGGCGTGTCCAACCAATCATGAACTACGCAGGCATCTCGGTTCATTCTGTAGCATGAAAATGTACCAGAATCATGACACCAGACCACCTGCGCCTTTGGACCCCCTCGCAGTGCTTATCAGGTGGATGTGGAAGGTCTAGACGGCCACTGAAGCGACTTCAAAAACCTCCCTGTTGGGGTTGAAGCCGGGAATGGGGCAGATGCGCTGACAACAGGCAAGATCACTTCGAAATAACAACTCCAGTGCTCATAACCCTTGCACGTTATAAATCCTGCACTCTCAGAATTTGCATTCAGTTGAAATTTGCGTTACATACTTCGATGGCCTTTGCTCCTGGGAGGTGATCTCATGAATGAATGGCTCACTACGACCAAGATAAGATGTTCTGGCACCTTGTTTGTTATCTACGCTACACGAACTCTGAGTGCTATGCCCCGCCCTTATATATTCACAAAGTGCCAGCTTTCCTATGCAGTCAATGTAGCTTGTTCCTTGCCCTCAAACCTTCAATGACGCTCGATGATGTCCTACGGGCCCTGTTGCTTCGACGTGATTCGCGGTGCTTCCCTCCGTTGGCTCAAGCGCCCGCGCTGCCATTGCTCCTGTGTCCCTTTTCGGCAGCTAGAGCCCATCTCGCGCAGTGGACGACGCTGGCTGCCACGCATTACCGTTTCAATTTTTGCCA